TTTTTTGTTTTTGATTTCGCAAAATTTCATTGTGGTCAGAGAACACGTATGTGACTTCAGTTTTGTAAATATTTGTTGTGACTTGTTTTATGTGGCTTGCATGTGATCTATTTTGTAAATGTCTCATGTACACATAAAAAATGTGCATTCTGCCATTCAACTTTTATATCCTTAATACTTTTTTTTCCTGCTTGATTGGTATAATTTATTGAGAGTTCCTGTGTATTTTCTTTTCTTTTTCTTTTTTATTGTGGTAAAATATACATATTATAAAATTTCTATATCTTCTTTTAGTTTGGTAAATTTACTTTTATATTTTTTTGAGATCATTTTGTAACTAGGATTGTTACATGATGGGGTGTAACAATGGGGTTCTGATGGGGTGGTTCATTTATTCTTCATTTTCTCATTTTTCTTAATACTTCTTACCTTATAGTCTATTTTGTCTGATAATAGTTTAGTCACATCTTCTTCCTTGTGCTTGATGTTCACCTGAGGTATCTTTTGGCAATCTTATTTTCAATCTATCTGTGACCTTACATTTTTTTTATTCATTTATACTAGAGCACATATGTGTGTGTGAAGGAAAAGCACCCTTCACTAGATCTGAAGGGGCAAAGGGGAGGGGTGGTTACAGACAGAGATAGCTGTATTAGGTCGGCCTGCCAACTAGAGATGTGGTCTTTGGTAGAGGAGCCCTACTAACCCACACGCCCTGGTAGGGAAGAGGTTAGTGAACAGATTTCACCCTCCTTCATTCTTTATCTCTTGCCAGAAGCTCCCATTGAACAAACTCAATTGGAAGTTACAAGGGAAGTAATAAGGGTGTTTGTGGAGAGAGCCAGGTGCCAGTCAAGGCCAGAGAGTAAAGGGAATCTTTGATGATGGCATTTGTTTAAAGTATAGGAAAAGGTCAAAGTTCATTTGGTGGCAACACTATTCCCTAAAGGGTATTGGGAAACATGACCAGTGTTTATAATGTCTCCAATGATTAAGGACTATATTAACAGCACTTGAGATTCAGGAAGCAGGAATTCTAACACCCTGCAGAGTTCCACACAATTGGCCCTGCCCAAAATGCTTACCTTTTACATCACTAAGGATTACAGAAGCAGGACACTTGGCAGTTTTATCTGGTCTTGAGGATCCAGATGGAAGGCTTGTGTCACATTTAGGCAGTCACAGTGTCCTAGGATTGTAGTAGCCATAAGAGGAAAGTGGTAATTTCTTTGGATAGGGATGTGGTAGTTGAGATTTGAAGTAACTAATGAGAGGGAGATCTCCCCATCAGTGGATTTTTTTTTTTTTTAATTTTGCCAGTGGGCACATGTGCTTATCAGAGAGAGACCGAGAAAGACAGAAAAGGAACATGAGAAATCAGCCTCCTAAGGGGAATGGTCATGCTGCAATGCCTTCTCCATTTCTCCCTCTTTTTGGGATTTTTAGCCATGTATGCACATATGCCTGGTGTGTTTCTCAAGCCACCAGATCTGGGACTTGCACTGCACAGTTGGCCATGCGGGATCCAGCTGCTTTACTTACCATGCCACCAGCTGGCTTGGAATTTATTTTTTTCAAGAATTATTTATTTAATTTTATCTATGATACTAATTTTTAATGTTCTATAGGGCATGTCCACTCATCAGAAAGAGACAGAGAGAGGACAAGTAAGAAAGCAAGCTGCCAGGTCGGGGACTTAAACTGCGGCTGGCCATGTGGCAGTCCAGCACCTTAACCACCATGCCACCTGCTGGCCCCAGAATATTTTTTATACAATAAATTTACACCCTCAAACTTACTTGTTTCTCGAGGTTCTGCTATTCATTATAAAAGAGAGAGAAAAAAAAAAAAAGACTAGGGTTAAATCATCACTCAGCATCCTTATAGAGAAATGTGTAGTCCATGCTGTACAGACTTCTCATTTTTTTCCTTAGAAACATTTCTAGCCCACTTATTTTATGTTAGAATCATAGATTAGTCAATGAAAAAAAAATTTTTTTTGAGAGGTTTTCGCTATAGGGTGCATGCAACTCGCCAGACAGACAGAGACATAGAGACAGAAAGCGAGAAATCACCCCCCAGGGGGGATGGTTACACTGCAATCCCTTCTCCTCCATTCTCCTCTCGGGATCTTGGGCACGCATGCACATGCGCCCGGTGTGAGTTCTAAGCTACCGGGTCCGGGACACAAACCACAGTTGACTACATGGGAATCCAGCGACATAGCCATTACGCTAACTGCTGGTTCCCATCAATGAATTTTTGAAAAGTGATTGAAGAAGTAAGAAAGAACACCAGAAACTACCTGTAACTGTCATGTTTCTGAATATTTCAACAGAGAAACACAAAATATACTTTCCTTGTTGTCATTCATATCATGAAAGTAAAATAATAGCTAAGTACTTGGAACTTTGGTTTTAAATGTGATTATTACCTTCAGAAATAACTGGTTTAAAATGGACCAGAGTATTACTGAAATGGGCAACAGATACACTTCTGTTCCCAAAGACCATCTCTAAGGAAAAATTGCTTTTCCTTTGTGGCATTCAGCCTTAGAGAAAAGACTTCATCATCTTGTACGTAATGTGGCTTTCTGGGCTGCTGATGTCTTCATAAAATTTGACTGGAACTTCCTTCTCTTGAAAATGAATGGGCATTTTCTTGCTCTCCACACTCATAAGTTTCACTTTCAGAGGGCCTAAGTTTACATAATCCTGTGGTGAATAGACACAGAGGAGAATAGGAGTGGTTATTTGGCAATGTCCCAGCCTTAGTAGATCAGGTTATCTTCATTATAAATGGCCTTGATCTGACAGATTTCAGAGCCCTACTAATTGTCTTAATGCTGTACAATAAGCCACTGTCAGAAATGAAAAACCACATTCAGTAAACATATATACCCACTAGGATGCAGAATACAAGCTCTCCCAAAGAACTAGCAGGTTCCAGAGAATGCTGACAGGCTCCTCTCACAGGGAGTGGAGGGAAGAAAGGAGGCACTGGCTAGACTAGGGGAAAATATCCTCTGTAAGCTCTTTTGTTGATGAAAGAGTG